AGGTGGAGTTACCCAAGTCAAAAACACACTTGATGAGGTTTTAAATGTCAAAATAAGTAACATGATCATCTAAATAAAAAAGTTGATATAGCATTGCTTAAAAGCAGAAGGCAGAGCAATATTGTTGATGGCAGACCACAGTTTCACATTTTGAAGGGTACAGACAGCGGGTGAAGAGACGTCTACAACGGCAGAATAACAATGAGACAAGGCAGGACAATATAATAATCCAAAAGATTTCATGCTTACACTAATTTGTGAGGTGGATGAAGGAAGCTCGGCTCTGATAGATGGACAGACACTTGATCATTGTGACCAAGATCGAGTTAAATGATATTAATAAACATATTTTGCATCTTAAGCAACACTCACAGTATTTATTTCTAAAATGTAATCAATTACACAAATAGTCTACTTAACTATGGTTATGTTGTGCAGCTAAACCACCAAAATGTTTGTTTTCCCCTAACAAAATGTACAGCAGCTCCCCTTTCTTTGGGACCAGGACTCCCCTGAAAAAAAGATTCTGAAATTTCAGTGGGACTTTCCCGGTTAAATAAAGGTCACTAAAATGTGCCTGAAATTATAATCCTACAATAAATAGCAAAACCTTTACTGAAATCATCTTAAAATGTACCTTCCAAAACAAAGTAGTTCTCCATGTACTGTTACCTATACTAAGGTTGTCAATATTGAAATAATTAGAGCAAATAAAAGGAACAAGGAAGTACTGTATTTAGAAGAGGAAAAGATTTTGGTCAATTACATTTTCTCCAACAATGAATTTGTTTTCACCCATAATCCCATGTTATTAGTGGTTGGGTAAAGGGGAAATACTGATTCCAATATAAAAATGACACACCACAAAATTAGTGTTTCAAATCTAAACTATTAAGGGACGGCCTTTTTATTTTTGCAACTGTTAAACGATACCCGAATGTGCTTCATCTTCCCCTCTCAGTTCAGATCTTTTGACGCTTGCTTGTTGCCAATGTGGTGCCTCTACAATTTTATGTAAGGAATGCTCATTATTGATGAGGGCGACATGACATGCAGCTACGTACACGAGAAAGCACTACATCCTTCATTTGAAAAATAAAAGATCAATGCAAAGAAATTACTTTCAAAGATTACGATAAATATCACTGCAAAAGAGTGTGTTGCAGAGTGTCTCTCAGTGATTGACCAATGACGCAAAAACTTTATTTATTTCAGATGTCTATTTAAAACACTTATGAAAAGGGATTAAGCAGAGACACCTTAGCGTAGGATCAGGCTCCCACACAGATGACTCTCGGTTAGCCTTCAAATCCCTTTAAGAAATCCAGATTACACACACACTAGGACACGTGATGTCATTTGCAAGGGACACAAACTAACTAAGTCCTGTCAGAGTTTGACAGGACATTTTCATATGTTTTTAACAGCAGGGTGATAACACTGGTACTTTCAGTAATTATAGGGGTCAAAACAAACTTGTAAAACGATAGGGAGGCCCACATTATTAAACTCAGTTCATGTGATGATTTTGGTCACACAAAAAGTTAGATACAGTATAATAATATAATGAATGTGTATGAAAAGTCTAGGGCATAATATGTAAATCTACAGGACATGAAAATTTCTTCAAGCTATTTATAGTACATCCAATTCAATCATAACTGAAGGATTGCATCTTAACATTTGTTACTGTGATTATTAAAGATTTGAATGCCTTGGCTATGATTGTTCTAGCTTGTTTTGTTAAGCACTTGTTGTGTGTATTAACTGAGCTACATAAATAAATGTGCCGTGCCTTAAACAATGAAACCATTCAAGCTAAATCACTTTTGCTTGGGTCACGGTCTCAGTCATTTAGAACAATGGAGTTATTTCTCTATAACTTACAAAACAAATGTACTCTGTGACTAGTTTAAATGCTAATGTCTTGGTTTGTTTTAGCATACTTTTACTTAATCTTTTCCGCACCTCCATCTCTGCTCTTTACGGGGCTTTAATCACCAGATGAATATAATAAAACTGTAGATGCACACCAGTGTCTCCATAGACTCCCCGTCCAACCACAACCCCCCACACAGCGTGACCCATCCACATGCGTCGGCAAGCAAACCCTGGCTGACAGTCGGCATGATGACGGAGGGGGCAGATGACTCAACCAAGGTGTGAGTAACTATATATTCTGAGGCGATTTCCAACAACTGTGCATGTTTCAACACCGGAAACTAAAGGTATATGATACTTGCTTGTAGCTTGGTACAGATGAAGGAATACACATACAAATCGATAAAACCAATGAGAGCATCAGCGCTACCAATGGCCATTTGTACAAATTAAATACATTTTCTCCCAAGCTTGGTCTCATCTAAGTGATTGCAGTTCAGTCCTCACTATTCATCAACTGCACAATTCAGGGCTGATTGGTCAAATGCACTGGTCCACCATGAATAATGCAATAAAACAGGGCAGTTTCTTGGACATTAGCTTCCACAACAGTGTAAGAAAATGTAAGTCATATCTAAGTGGCATGTATAGATGGACATTGCTAATTCCCTAGCTCAATTAAGCCCAGTTAAGCCCAATAGGGAAGTGCTCATCAACAAAGTTTTGCTCCAACTCACTCTGGATTCCATTGACTTACATTGTACAAGTAACTCCTCTAGCTCAGTAATCGTTTGGGTCACGCTCACCATTTTAGGCTTAAACAATATGCGGTTTAGTGCTCTTAATGATCCTGGTGTCATTATTTTGGTATCGCTTTGGAAATCCTGACATGAGCCATTGAAGGATGACGATCCGATTGCCTTAATTCGCGAACGCAAACAAAACAAATTCACATATACTGTACGGAAATTGGCTCCAGCTAGCTTATGTTCAAATCGGCTTCTTCTGTATGAGGCAAACATTGAATTGAATAAACAGATGTATTTTGATTGACAGCACCGGGGCCGAGAATTCCCGACCAGAACTAAACATGGAGAGGCTGCATTTCAGATTCATGCTGCTAAAATCTTCCTGCAAATATGAGACAGGCTTCTTCTCTGACAATGTTTAAATCCAGGTTAAAAACGCTTCTGTTTAGCTGTGCATACAACTGAGGGATTTTATATTTGTATCTTTCTTTTTAATTTGTTGTGATTATCTATGATTGCAATGCTATCTTGTTTTGTTCAGCACTTTGAGTTGCCCTGTGTATGAATTGCACTATACAAATAAACTTGCCTTGCCTTTAGGTAATTATTATTTTACATAACTAAAATTAGATTCAATTAGTAATTTTCATGGATAACACTACACTTTTTTGTCCAACTGGGAGAGGTGTGTAAAAGTAAAATATTGTGAACAAATCAGAACACACCATGCTGCATTAATCTTATTAGAAAAGCCTGTTATTTTTGCATACTTGTGAGAAAGATCCCAGTGAGTCACTAGTTCACACTTTGGGCTCTTTGGGTGAGATTGGTCCTCTCTTTTTTCAAATAATCTGATCTGAAGATGTGACAGAAGTCAAAAAATACATGCATGTGAAAACTAGCGAGGAATTAGTTTGATGGATTTAATTACATAGTTATGTCTGTATACTTTGAGCTACCCCAGCTTTCACTTCCCACCTGAGTTGAAATAAGAAACTGTTTACAGAGACAGAAATATCTCAAGGATTACTCCAGAACACGTGAAAATAGGATGTAGATTAGCACGTGAGGGAAAGCCAGGACCACTCTGTCTAACCTATGTCCTTAGGGGATTCCATCATTTAAGCCTCATGGTTTTCAATGGGGCGGTACAGTAACCTACAATGTCTGGGATGTAGGATTTTCTGTGAGTAGATAATATACAGTATGTGCCTCTTCTTCAGGGCTTCTAGAAAACCACTCATGCACAAGCACTTTTGGCCCCTTTCCTCACACTGGGCTCAAACCACATACACTGAGGCCCATCTGCTGTGTTTAAAAGTCGGGATTTAGATCAGACAGACAACACAAGAAAGTCGCACCAGTAAGTACAACGTCAAAAGAAAACACTTAAACCAAAAATATAAAATGCACATACTAATCATAGGAATAGGCAAGATTAAACTAAAAAAAGCCACTGCAAAAAGCCACAGAATGGTGTTTATATGACTTGTATTTTACATCATTGCAAGTCCCTAAATCTCACTGTCAAATGTGCCGCAGCTGTGGGAGGGGAATTGTTCAGACCAACAGTTGGTGATTTTATTGTCACTCAGACCCCGAGAAAGGACCCAGGACACGTTGGAGAAACTATATCTGTCAGATGGCTTGAGAAGTTGGTGCAAGTGTGTCTGGAAAGGGAAGTCTAGGAGTCTTGCAGTGTTGAACCCCCCCACGACCCGGCCATAGATAAAGTGAAAGCAAAAATATGGATGGATTCATGATGGGATTTGAAGTTTGGTTTTCCTCATTGAAGAGCTAGTTTGTTCCCACTTATAATTAGAGTACATCTTTCATCCAAGACCAAGCTAGAGTGTGAGATTCTCATATAGAGGCCAGACTTGTTTCTATAAATATTTTTTCAACCCAATAGCTTTGCAAAAAGGGTTAGATTCAGCAAAAATAAGACAGAATGAGGTCCAAAACAGGAGAAGACACACAGTTATAAATAATAATAGGATTTTTTTAAAGTGAAGACTACAGCAGGAACTTGAGAAGAAGTGGTTTATAAGGACGATCAGATTGAACAACATCACACGTCTCAGTTAGATCCATTGTACGACTAAAACAAATCTGTCATGTCACTACAAAACAATCATACATTTTCCAATAGCCTGAATCCTGTTTAATTAAGCTTCAATCCTATTTGCTTCACACAGCCTCATTTGATTATAGCCAAGATTGGAAAATCATAGAGAAGACAAGACTCCCAGTGCTGTCTTTCCAGTGAACTATTTCAACTACAACTACAGTGGATGTTTATGTTCTATTTATATGACAGAATGCATACATTACAGAGTGTTGTTGGATGAAAAGCAGTGAAATTCTTACCTCTCCTAAGTGTGGCATGGGGTTGAATCCACATAGGTTACACACGGTCTTCTTACACTCGGTGCAGAGGCTGTAGTTGGGCATGTCGGATGATCCCATACTAAGTTCTACATTGCAAAGTGGACAGCTCTGTGTGGGTGCAGTCGAGGCCGGTTTCTTCTCCGCATCTATTGACATGGACTTAGTTGGTTTGGTGAATCTAGCAGGGGGAGTATCCGGGGCAGAGTCACTGTCCGGAGGGGATCCCGGAGCAGAGAAGGGAGAATCGGGAGGAGACCCTGGCCCAGAGTCAGGAGACTGGGGTGGAGATCCTGAAGGTTCTGCTGGTGTGCTGTCATCGCCGGTGACAAGGTTTGTTGCTGAGCTCAACAAGGATGAGCCAAAGCTGAACATCTGTGATGCTGCTGCTGGAGGTTTTGAGGATGAGTCGGACAAGCCTCCAAACCCACTAAATAACTTCCCTGCTACTGACTCCTCTTGTTTGGGTGCAGTTTGCGCAGGTGGTTTCGAAGTTTCCATCAAACCACCAAATCCCCCAAAAAGTTTTCCAGTTACAGATTCGGATTGTGAAGAAGTTGAAGAGGATTTAACTGAGTCTGTCAAACCTCCGAGACCAAACCCCCCAAAGAAACTAGACTCCTGTTTGGCTTTAGATGGAGACTGTTGTGGACTGGACTTCTGCATGATAGGTTTTCCAGTTTTGGGGTCGATCTTGGGGGATCCTGCCATAGAAGAGCCGGGAGACGGTGGTCCTGATGAGGTGGGACCAGGGGATTTCTGCCTGGGGGTTGTGGGCGGAGTCAATCCCTGGTCGCTCTGGTGGCTTTGCTGCTTTATGAGGAGGTTGCCAGGTTTCCCAGGAGCCTGTTTTTGCGGCGATGGAGGGACAGAACCTTGCCTGGGGTTTGGAGGGTCCATGCCTCCCATTGCCCGCTGCATTTGGCAGTTCAAACACAGCCATTCCTTTCCCTGAAAATGAACACAAAACACAAGTTAATAATCATATTATGTTCAGCTTCAATACAAGAAGCTTCAATATTCGTCCCACTGTGGGACGAATAAAGGAATTCTTATCTTATCTTATCATTATATGGGTCCTCTTCTGTTTAATATTTACATGTTGCCTCTAGGTCAGTTGATTCACAGTAATAATGTCTCTTATCACAATTACGCTGACGATACTCAGGTCTATGTGTCCCTGACAGCAGGAGAGCATGAACCAGTGGACTCGCTCCTTCACTGTGTCCAGCAAATCGGTGATTGGATGCAAAATAACTTTCTCCAACTAAACACCGACAAAACTGAAATAATTGTTTTCGGACCCCAGAAACAAAGAGAGAGCGTTATTTGTCACCTCCAGGCTCTCTCTCTACAACCCTCAAATCAGGTCAGAAATCTAGGAGTGATAATGGACTCAACTTAAATTTCAAAAGCCACATAAAATCTGTAACATCAGCAGCTTATTACCACCTAAAAAACATTGCTAAAATTAAAAACATAGTGTCTAAGGCAGACTTGGAGACTCTTATACACGCTTTTGTCTCCAGTCGGTTAGACTATTGCAATGGCCTGCTCACAGGTCTGTCCAAACAGGCTGTAAAACAGCTGCAGTACATTCAACATGCAGCAGCTCGAGTCCTGACCAGAACTAGGAAGTACGACCACATTAGTCCAGTTCTCAGGTCTCTGCACTGGCTTCCTGTTCCTCAGAGAATAGACTTCAAAGCAGCTTTACTTGTGTACAAGTCTCTCCATGGTCTCGCGCCAAGGTACATCCATGACATGTTTGTGCCATATGAACCGACCCGGACTCTGAGGAGCACAGGGACTGGACTCCTGTTAGTGCCCAGAGTCGGTACTAGACATGGGCAAACTGCATTTCAGATTCATGCGGCTAGAGTCTGGAACCGTCTTCCTGAGAATGTGAGACAGGCGTCTACTCTGGCATCTTTTAAATCTAGGCTCAAAACAATTCTGTTTAGCTGCGCATATACAACTGAATGATTTTATCTTTTCATCTTTGTTTTTATCTTTAATCTTTTTAATGCACTGTGACTATTTATGATTTTAGTCCCATCTGTGATTTTAATGTTTAAAGGTTTTTAATTTTTGTGATTTTATTTTTAATGTTTTTAATATATCTTGTGCTCTTAATGTGTTTGATTTATGCATGATGTGATAGGGGATGTGAAGCGCTTTGCGTTGCCTTGTGTAGGAAAGGCGCTCTACAAATAAACGTTGATTGATGATTGATTGATATGTCATATAATACATCATTTTAGCTATAGTTATTACATTATTTCATACCTAACTAAATTTCTGACTTCATAGAAAGTACTATAATTTCCTCTGAAGAAATGAGAAGATTAATGTTCTCTTCAGGTTTCTACTTTATTATAGTGTAGATATTCATCCAAATCCTTTCATGTTCAATATTAGTAATAGTTCAGTCAGAGTTCCTGTGGAATTCTGTGGTGTAATCATGATTCACAGGTACAAGTGTCCTCAGGCACATGGACCCTCCATGGGTCACCTTGATAAACATGTCCATATGGTCACTCAGTGTTTCTGTACATGTGCCATTTCCTGCTGAAAATGTAGCACTCTAAATCATACTATTCTTTCTTTCTAATCAGAGAGATATTATACATACACACATGTGATTGTAAATGAATGACGTGCCAACATTTAGTGTAGTCTTACCGCTGAGTCTGGGGGACTGAAGCCACACAGGCTGCACACCTGGCTCTTACACTCAGTGCAGTTGTTGTAGTTTGGTGGATCCTTTGAGCCAATGTTCATCTGGGTGGTCTTACAGAGTGGACAGGGCACAGCTTTCCCTGCTCCTTGTTGAGTACCCGGCCCTGCACTCTTTGAAGGTTGACTTCCAGTTCCAACTGGCCCCTGCTGCTTTGGACCTGCTCTCTGCTGAGGAGGACCAGTTGGTTTGGTCCCTGGGCCTGGAGGACCCTGTCCAGGGTTTGGCCCTTGACCCTGAGGACCCTGCCCCTGTTTTGACCCTTGTCCCTGAGGAACTTGCCCCGGTTTTGGCCCCTGTCCCTGAGGACCCTGCCCCGGTTTTGGCCCTTGTCCCTGAGGACCCTGCCCAGGTTTTGGCCCTTGTCCCGGTGGTCCTTGTCCGGGTTTTGGCCCTTGTCCCGGTGGTCCTTGTCCGGGTTTAGGCCCTTGTCCCAGAGGTCCTTGTCCAGGTTTTGGCCCTTGCCCAGGAGGTCCTTGTCCGGGTTTTGGCCCTTGTCCTGGAGGTCCCTGCCCGGGTTTTGGACCCTGTCCAGCAGGACCTTGACCAGGTTTTTGGAGTCCTCCTTGTTGTGGACCCTTAGGCCCTTGCTGTTGAGGTCCCTTGGCTGGTGCATCACCCTCTTCTTCATCTCCAAATATTCCAAACTTTGGAATGTTAACAGAATCTCCCATTGAGGATAAAGACGAGGTCATGGCACTGAGGGGGTTGGCCCCACTCAGGAAACTGGATCCGAACATGCCTGAAGATTTGCTTTCAGAGGTCTTTGGCTCTTGCCGAAATCTTGACTCAAAAAGGCTTAAGGACGAGGGGCTGCGGCCTGGGGAAGGCTTCCCGACTGGACCCTGGTTGAAAGCATCTACAGTGCGGCTCTTGCTGAGACCCCCAGAGCCCCTGGAGCCTCCGATCTGCTGGGAACGCTGCTGGACATCACCTTGAGAAGGTCTGGTGAGGAAAAAAAGAGGCAGGCTTTAGATTAAGATTAAGCACAAGAGTCAACTATTTTAGACATCTTGTATTACTACAAGTTCATGGCAAACAAATAAAAAAAATCCTGATTGGCTCTTCAACGTTAATTAAAAGTTAAATAGTTCATGCAAATATTTAGCTTATTTTTTCTGTGGGCATTTGTTTACAAAAAAGGCAAGAACAACTTCACATTTATAACATTCTTAACCATAAAGGGTTTGGGCTAAAGTTTAGCACTTATTTGTATAACCCTATCAACAAAAAACAGCCATACACAATATAAATTATGCCAACTCTCAAACAGACCTCTCACAACGTAGAATACAGGGGACATATTACATTATTACACATTCAGTATATATATCTGATAATCGTTTGGTCTTCAGATTTGTATTCAGATTGTGTCACGTGTCATTTCCAGTCGTTGTTGTCTGTTCAACACAATGCGCTCATGAGCAAAGCGAAAGTCATATATTATATGAATTATTTGGATGTAGAAGGTAATTTTTCAAAAATGTGCATACAATAAAAGTTTCATTTTCTGCAATGACACATGAGGTAGATCTAAAATCTACATGGGTAGCTTTATATTACCCCGCTGAGATGCATAGGATTATTGACATCATGCTGATGTTGTAAATACACAAAAACATAATGTGGAAAAGTGTGCAGTGTGATTAACCTCAGCATTGATTCAGCATTAGATGGTATGAATACAGCCTGGATGTAATGCTCTGGATGCATTAGCACCGTGTGGGCCAAACTCCACTACGCGAGTTGGAGCGCCACTGACGACAGCGGGGAGATTTCAGCACCATGGCCAGCGATCAATGCTCCACAATGAGTTGCGACAGTAGTTTATTTCACTATAAGTATAACGTAAGATATTAACTATTTCCTCGTCTACAGTCATTCTATTTATAATCATATTAATATTGATGCACCCCTCCCCCCAGTCTCTAGCTTAGACCTATAAATAACAATTCTCTCCCAATTGAAGCTAATTAACAGGGATGTTAACAGATCTATTAGATGACTATATAATCAGGTGACCATAACTGTGGCACCAGCATACTCTACATCACTACTGTGTACACTCTGATCTTCACTGACGTCCAAGTGAAAGAGTATGTGTTAGAAGACGCTAAGCAGACACACGACAGAGAGAATCTGGGTTCACGACAGATTCTCCCAGCAGGCATTTCGAGAAATTGCGCTTGCAAGTGGAGGTGTATCTTCCACAGCAATCAACGATGGAGTATGGGAACATGTACACACAAAGACAATTTAGACGAGAAATCAAAATGGAATGTTAAAATGATTCAAGAACACTCCAAAAACGCCAGTAGGCTTTTGCAAACGTCCCTATGCAATGAAATGTGTCACTAAATATGGATGTGTTTCTGGTCCTAGATCAGCTGAGAAGGTCCCATAGGCCACATTTGATGACTAACAGTGTGTAGTGTGTGTGTAAGGGTAGCGGGGTAGGAGCCTTCATGCCTTCGCGCTGCTGCTCCAGGAGGATGCTTGCCCTGCGCTCTCGCCATCGCAGCTGAGAGTTGCTGTCTCTGCTCTTCGCTCAGTTTACTCAGATCCACCGGGGTTCCGTCAGAAACACGCACAAATCCACCTTTCCCATCCGGAGCCAGCCCTTCGGGCAGACCCTCTCCTCCCTCCAGACTCGCTTCATTCCCCATGATGGACCCCTCCCGTCTTCCGTACAGTCAGTGTGTTTTTACGGCCAAAGCGCGAAACAGACGCGACGTTCTTCTGGGTTTCGGATCATCATGCCAGCGAAGATTCATCCCTCACTACACGTTTCTGTTGTCGAGCTCTCATTGTTTTTCTCTGTAGCGCATCTCTGCAGCTGTAGCACAGTTACAACAGTTCTTGCTGAACACGGCCCCCCATGATGCCGCTGTGAATGTGCAGAGGAGCCACTTCCGCCTTACAAAATAATGCATCTCCAAATTAGGAAATGAGTAACTCCCACGTGCCAATGGGCTATTATAATGTTCATTCAATGTGCTGTTAGAAATATTATAACTGTACATGCAATTGTACAAAGACATATATTCGCCAAAATGTGTAATTCCAACTGTGCAACTAATGAAAGATTGACTATAGCTATCTGAGCACACACACACCTTGTCTGAAAAAATGAGTCCCAAATTACAATCAAATCCAACTTGTCCGCCCCAGTTCAACACAAAATGCTTTTATTGCAAAGTGGGGGTGTGTCACGTCATGGCAGCAATGTTGTTAACTTGCTGCTTGTTCTCATCCTCTCTGCTCTGGCGTTTACAGCGCATGCGCCACCGGTGACAGGCCACGGGAGCCTTATAATGGAAATAGTGGTTTAAAAGCAGATTGACACTACTTAAACCCTTCTGCAGTGGTAGTTTATACAGGTGTGGCATAGATAATCGGCTCATTTCGTCTAAGCACCATCATTAGACACTGTGTTCTTGCGAAATATGGTCAGGGATTATGATATTGAATAATAATTTAAACTATATATGTATGGGGGAAGACTGTAGTGTTTTTTTGTGTGTCGGCACCAAGCAAATTTTACCATGAGGCTGTCCTACTCACTGCAGCAATTTCTGAGGTAAATTTGCTCCAGCACATTGTATCAATTGAGGAACACTTTGTTAACCACATTTCATGAAATATTTATGTCATGTGAGAATTTCCAGTACGTTGCTTACTAGAAATACTCAATATACCACAAAAAAAAAAAAAAAATACAGGCGCTGTAACAAAATTGCATAATATACACCCACACAAGAACGGAAGGAGTGTGAAACAGATCTACAGTTATTTGCTGTCCAGATAATATGCACAAGCTATGATTATAAATATGAAATGTGTCAGTTCTATTGAGAATCAAACAGATGTGCAGCAATAAACACACACAATATGTGTTCATGAGGTACATGCAGTGGTGGGGACCAACTGTATCTCGAGTACAGTTAGTGACTAGATATTTTGAGTAACAACATTTAGCACTTTTTCTTGTCTTTATCAGAAAATAACAGCACGAGTGGATAGCACTCTCGCATCTCAGCAAGAAGGTCCTGGGTTTAAATCCCAGTCGGAACAGGGCCTTTCTGAGTGGAGTTTGCATGTTCTCACCGTGTCTGGGTAGGTTTCCTCCAGGTGCTCCGGTTTCCCCTACCACTAAAAACATGCACAATAGCTATGAATGTAGACGAGAGAGTGAATGGATGGTGTTGATTGGGGGCTGATGCGCCAGTGTGTTCGGCGACTCGCTTCTGTCATCACCGAGTGTGGAATGATTGGAACAATATCTGAACTCTGAACATTGTAAAGCGCTTTGGGTGACCTTGGTCTGTAAAATGCGCTATATAAATAAACATTACTTACTAATAGATGGGGGTTTTATAATGTACTTTAAACTGCATTGTATAAACAATAATGAAAATAATCAGATCCTATGAGGCATTTGGACACTTTGACATATGACAATCCTCCACATCTTTTGAGCTATTATGTTGATCATCCCCATTAAGCTAAAGCATTATTATTGAGGTAGACCCTAAACACGATGCTTATCTTTAATTCAAATTGTAAGGACATATCTCTGCATAGTATTTCCTTTTAAACAAACATTGTAAGTACTGCATTTCCCCTCTGATCCCGGGATCATGCTGCCAGGAGCACCAGCTTTCACTCACATTCACACAGGTGCGAGCTCAAATATGAATGCAAAGTTTTGTTGCCTTTCATTTTCACTAGACACCCACAGAAAAGACATTAAGTCAATTATGTGAAATAGATGCTCATTGGTGCGTTTTGCATATTTGACCATGTAACTTGAGGTAAGTAACCAGAGAACACACTGTTCATTAAAATTGAATAGTCAGTAGCAGCATAAGGCAGTGGCTTACAAAGACATGGGCTAGAGAATTATGCCGTTAAAATTCAAGGTGTAAAAAAAACAAAAACATATATGCATTCCACATTTACAATTCACTTTTTTTGTTCGATGGATAAACGCATGCTTGAATAGATTAAATATCTGCTCCATGTACATCATGTAGAACCATTCACATAAAGCAGACAGAGCCTACCTTTGTAAGACACCCGTGGCTTAATGGAGACTGCAGGTATCCTTGGAGCCAGTAAGTGCCGATGTGACTCAAGTCCCCAGTGTACTTTAAGAGGCGTTTCATTTTTGCTACAGTCAGACTGAGCCTCCCTCAACCTGATTAGCTATCTGGCACATGCCCCATTCCACCATCAACAGCAATTTGCTCCTGACCAAAGACACTGAACTAAAAATACCTTTCAAGTCACAGTCACTTCACGGCTGCTGTAGTCGATCCAACTCCGATGAATCTATACACTCTGGCACACGCACCTATAGTCACAAAGAAACAAAGGCAGCCTCTTGCATGGACATAAGAACACAGAGTAATCCTATTTCCTGTGAGGGATAGGCCAATCACACACTTCTCCACTCTTAAGCCCTTTCTCTGTCCACACGCTGCCGTAAATTCCTATGGCAAGTTACCTTCTCTTGTTATGGAAACACAAGAAGATCAATTATTTATACAAAGACAGCCATGCAATTTTTTTTTTTTTTTTTTTAAACCCACTAAAGAACTTAAGTTAAAGTTAATCATTATCAAACCGCTTCAGTTGCCATAAACATAGCTAGAAGTTGTTTGCTTTAGGGTATGTTACTCTCAATAAGAAATATTCTTTACATGTATACACTTATTTTGCTATGATTGGCAAACGTAAAGGGCATCTGAAGGGCACTGTAACCTTTAACTGCTAATAGGATTCATTAGTCTGAAGGCTAAGGCAAAACAGCATATTCACCAGACAACAATACAGGCGTTTGCTCATCTCTCATGTTTGTCTGTAGATGAAAAAGTGTGCGTTCTACTCCACCCAGTGGGCGCATATGTCTTTTCTTAATTTCTTTTGACAATGTGCTTTAGTATATACTTCTCTGTAATTGAAGGATTAAATATTAAATTATTAACTGGCAGATTTAGAGGATTATTTTAAATGAGCATTTTATGTGAGAAAAATATGAATAACATTGTCAGAGCCAAAACTTCTTTCATCACACCTGTTACCTGGGCAGTGCGTCATGCTGATGACGTCACCCCTGTACTCTTATGGGGGAAGGTCTCTAATTGTGAACACAGATGAGTCACACATGCTCACGACGATTCTTTACAAGAGCTTTTTAATGATACAATTCATTCACTCCTGACTCAACTCACTGATGCTGGGCATCCTACCAAAAGCCTCCTCTAATAGAAGCTATTCCATGGCTCATCCTAATATTGCAAAGGCACAAAAAGTAAAACCCAAAATAGTCCTTGACTATAGGTCTGCAAAGAATCTGTCCCCACAAAAACAAATGGGGCATTGATCAGCTAATCCATCCCTTACAATATTACTGAATGGCCGTGAGATGAGGTCAAAGCAGTATCTTCTTTGTGTGTGTACGTGAGATTATCTCTCCTCTCTCACGTGCAGCTGTGTTGATCGCCCAGGTTTATGACTCCAGACTTGTAGTTGTGTGTTGAGGAGGTGGACCCAAGGCCATTAATCATCCTTTCCCTACAACACACAGGGAGATTAATGTTCCAGGTGGCAATATACAAACCAGGGCCAGACACATCATGTGATTAGAGAGCGAGAGCAAAAAGTAAACAAATTAGAATGCATTTCTTCACTGGCAAACATGACTGTTATTGTGTCATCAACATTGGTCCATACAATATTAATGCAACAATTGAACACACTCAGATTTCTATTTTTTTAAACTTTTTCTATATTCACAAAAAAACAATTTCTGTAAAATATATTTCATAAATTGTATATGCTGCCATTAGGCAACATCATTAGAAAACATTGCATTAACTTATACATGTGGTGTCACAGCTTTACTTATCTATGAACCGATATCAAGCAAATCGAATAGACAGGCTTAGTGCCGCCTGCTTAAACAATCTCAAAACTTGGATGACCCTTAACTACCTGCTCCTCAACCCAGAAAAAAAACAGAAGTAATCTCACTAGACCCAAACATCGATCACTGATCAAATAATCACACCCCACAATGTTAGCGTTGCCCCTAGCAACACTGTATTTTTGAGAACTCTCCTAAGGAGCACAAATAAAACTAAAACTGCTTATTATTTTTGGTGCGACACATTTAATTAGGCATTCCTAAATCAGGAATATCCCTCTTAAATGTGATAAAAAACAGATGCTTGCATTTACTTAAGCACTGTAACGCCCTGTGGGCAGTGGGCCCTAAATCCTCTATACGGCAGCTTGTCCAAAATACAGCAGCAAGGATCTTAACAGGCTCTAAACAGAGAGAACATGTTACTCCAGGGTTAAAATCACTCTGCTGGCTGGAAATACAGAATCAAATTTAAATTCCTTGCAACACACAAGGTCATAAATAGCATGCCCACTACCTCCAAGACACATTGGTATCATAAGAACCAAATCGATCACTGCTCCAGACTTCTGGTGGTCCAGAGTGTCAAAAGCAAAGTATAATGGCTTTCCAGAGCACCTCATGTAGAAGCCTTGAATGTGATCTTTCAAGTTACAACAGGCTGCAGTCACAGGTATCCCGATGAGAAAGACTGCAGATAAGCTTCCAGAGAGTTTGTGCAGAGATTGTTCACAAACATATGTTGCAGCAGGTGGATCTGGTGAACATGTGAGGTGGAGACGCAGGTCTGGTGTGTGTTTACGTGGGTCAGGCATTTTGGAACAAGCTCCTTCTTCATATACCTTTTCTTTTCATTAGAATGAGAAATACACCAAAATGAGCTCAGGTTTTTTCAAATAGGAAAAAAGGGTAAATTTGGTATAAATGGCTGTTTGAGAGGACTGATTTGTTGTATTAGTAAGTTCATAATTACTTGATCACAAAACAAAAGGAGCACACAGTTCAAGGTTTCTTGTGATAGCTCAAGAAGAGTAATATGGAGCCTCAATGTACAATGTTAAAAAAGTTGGATAAATTAAATATATAACGCATACACTAAAATCTTACGTCTAATATTCATCTTTAAGCCTATACAAGTATATTCAATGACAACTTTGATTTAATTCTACACTTCATGAGAGACCTTGATCATCATAAAGTCCAATAGTCAATAACAAATGTCATGTGTGATAAAGGAAGCTAAGTCTCAATAGACCAGCCCTGCAGTTGCTATGGTGACCACGGCCGATGCCGCTCATCTTCAGAAACCTGTGTCTCTCAAAGTGCTGTGTGCATGCGACGACAAAGGAAAAAGTAAACAACAGACCAAGCTGTTGGTCTTATTGTTTCCTGCTTTAAGCTTTCATATTTGTCCCCGCATGGCGATCATAGAAGCACATTTTGTGAAATAATAATAATGGCTTTTGAACTTGATTTGACATCCGCAGACTAAAAATGCAGTGGTAAAAGAAAGAACCATAAGACATAATTCAATGCTTGAAAATCATTTGTGAAAACTTTCAGCTTTATGAGCGTCATGAAGTGAGGCCTTGAGGAAGATGGTATGATGCTGCTAAACAGGGACATCTAGTGGTCGTGTCGTATAATGCAATGATAGTTTAGACTGCAATACAGATAATGTAATTGTGGTGATAATTAAGACTCGCGCGTTATTTTGATCACAGTCAAATAATACAGTGGCCTCGACTTAAACAGATTCCTTAAAAGACGGATGATTCACTGCTGCGGACACAGCTGGGGTAAAGCCTATCTAACCTTTCAGAATCAGAATCAGCCATGTAAGTCATAGGAAGTCAAAGAGAGACAGAACTTGTATTGGCGCTTTGTTTCTTAGACCAAAACAAAATGAAACCAGTCAATGTATACATTTACTATAGTGTTTACATGTACACAGTATGTTTTACATTCATGTATGTGTGGCCTCTGACATATTTGGATCGGCTTTCAACAGAAAAGTACACAAATATATAATCAGACGTTCAGCTCTTAGCTCAAAGCGTAACATGGTGACTCACGGGGCTATGGAGAAGATAAGACGTTTTCTAATAAGAAATACAATGTATTAGGATCGGTACCTCAACTTAATTGCAATGCAAAAATGAGAACAAGTTATTTGTAGCAGAGATGTTTATTTAAACAATTGAACGCATGCCAGAAAGTACCGTTACAGCAGTGGTAACTTTTAGCTCTCTAACAGGAGAGGAGGGTCTGCACTTTACTGCCACATGTGAGAAACGTTATTTCGTGACGTGCTAGGAGCGAGGACGACCAGCAGAGGGCGCTGCTGCATCACAGAGGACAGTTCAACTTTGGCAGGAGAGTTGCTGTTTTTGATCACTGTTTTGGCAAAAGGACAACAGTATTTCACACCTTGATTTAAGGTAACTCCACCTTTCACACAAAACACTAAGAGACACTAAAAATATGCATTTACTGTAGGTAGCATTCACATGCAGAGTAACGTGTCTTCTCCTCAGACGAGATATTACATTTTCTCCACTATTACAGAAATTCACAGCTAATCTTTTATCAGGTTGGGATTTATTTTACACTCAACGGTAACTTGACAAATGAAATATGTATGGAAATACAATACAATTGTGCTTATTGTTGAGGGAGTTAGAAAATGTGCGGCTAAGTCAAGCCACTTAGCATTTCTCATTCATACATATCTACAAAAAAGATTCCAGTTTCAGTATGTTGGTCCATCATACAGTTCATGGCTGCTGAAGCCATTGCCTTTTCATTATTTTGATGAGCCAAAGTATAAAAAAATAAATGTAACCCTCTCACAAAACTATGAGCAATAAATAATAGTAATCTGGCGGCGTTCTTGTGCGGTATGGGTACTGTATATACACAACGTACATCTTATGTATGCACACAAACCATATGGAGTCTATATCCTAGAAATCCCAGAGAAAATATGGACAATAAGTTACAATAAGAAACCAAATAAGAGCACAATATGATATATTGACAAAATATGTCTTTTTTTTTTTAAAGGAAAACAAATGTTTTCAAATTAAATTGCATTTGTCAGGGTGTAAAAAACAAAACTCTAATGTAAATAAAATACTTAGCTTATTAAACATTGATTGACAATGACATGCACACTCTTTCCTCATGTTTAGAATAATAAAGCATTCACCCGACACTGTGGCTGTGAACGATGGCCTCTCATGGCAAACCCATGTCCACAAAAAGTGTTGCCCTGTCACTTAATTCAGTTTTCCAAAATGAATCCATTCCATGAAGCTATTTATGAGTTTACATGCTCAGAAAAAGGGCACAATGCACAGGTGCACAAAGACCTTTATGTCTCTTCACAGGACGTCCACAGTAGGAACCCAACACGTCTGTCCGGCCAAGTTCATTTCGTAGCTTATTTACAGTAACCTCACGCGCTGCCTGACCAAACCGTAGGCAGTCATGTCCACACACATCTAGTCGTTTAATTGTCCTTACTTTACTGTTGTCCACTTCACAGATTATTTAAGTGTGTTCAGCAGCGTTGTAGTGTAATGGACCTAAAACTGCTCTAATGGACAGGTCACTGAATCACATTGAATACGACACTATAGAGTCTAGATGCTTAGATGCATGGGGCTTGTGCTTATGTCTTTCTCTGTAGTACTGTCCACCTCAAACACTCCTTGGGGGTCTCTGGAGCTCATGGGTCCTCCTGTTACGGCCTTTCTTGTTCTCCTGCATTCGTCTCCATTTAGCAGTGTGCGGATTGGCCCTGGCCCCTCCCCCAGCAGCTTGGGAGCCAACATTTTGACCTCCTTGCATTTTCTGGTTGTTCTTAGGTGCTTGGCTACTGAGATTTTGTTGAGGTGGGTCGAGGCTCCGTTGTGTCCCTTCAGCTGTTGACACTACAGTTTGAAGCCATGCTCTGCTCTGTGGGGGAGCTCCTTGCTGTTTTTGAGCTTTGGCCAGATTAGATTTTGATCGTATTAAGGGGTTAGCACCACCGCGGTCACTTTTGCCACTCTGTGTCTTCCCTTTTTTCTGCTTACGTTCTTTTTTCCAAACTCTGTCACAAAACTCCTCCACACTGTTGAGGTCTGGGTGGTCCAGGAGAGAGAGGAAATCTCGATACCACATTCTGTGTTTGGCAGAGGGACCCACACCGCTTCCCGCGACGGGGAAGCCTGGCAGGATGTCCCCCAGCTTTTGTGTGGGGATGACCTGCAGGTTGAGACGCATGAGGGGCTGTATGAAGCCGTGCTCTACAGCCTGGCAGTGGTAGGTCCCCACGTCGGACTGGGACAGAGTGCGTATTAGCAGGCCCTGGTCCGTGCGTAGGATTCTCTCATCAAATCTGATCTGCAAACAACAACAAAATGCGATATTTAAATAAGGTGTATTTCAATTTTATTCAACTCAATTTATTCTTGTATAGCCCTAAATCACAACAGAAGTTATCTTGGAGGACTTTACACAACTGTTGAATTTGCCAACACAGATCAGAGAATCAAACGGTTCAAACAAAAAAAATAGAACGGAGAACACATTGGTATTGGTCCATAAGGGGCAGATGACAGAAGTCCATAAGTGTTGATAAATGTTCCCTAAATGTTGTTGAATGTTGAGTGTTCTGGATAATCATCACTGTCCATTTAGTTAGACCTCACAGACCCTCTTAATTCAAACGCTGATATAGACACAAAGATAGAGACTGAAGATTATTTGACGCAGACAGAGCTGTACTTACTGCAGGATATGTGTAAGATTCAAGATTCAAGCATTTATTTGCCATTTGCAGTAAAACCACATTGGAAAAACTGTGAAAGACTACCCCAGTGTGCACCACACACCAGAGCTCTAGCCATGGTCCCATTTTTCCAGCACCATTCAGTTTAATAAACAGTTAAAGCCAAATTTGGTCAAACAATGAAGATCTAGAGACATCACTCCAGCTTTGTTTTGGTGAAATCTAAACAATGCCATATTCACTTGTATTTTGGGATCCAAGCAACAAATCCAACTATACTATGCTTTCATCACAAACTTATCAATCACCTAAATATTTATTCATTAAAGCAAGGTTCTTTACAGCTAATCATGCAAACTTTTAACTTTTTTCACGTTTGTTGATACTGTCATGTGGTATTGTGTTAATACGACTGAACTTTGTTGTATAGAGAACGCAATTAATACATGAAAATCCATTCTTAAATAATAATTAAACTGATTATTAAATAATAATTAAAGCAAACTTTTTGTGAAATAATAACACATTTTCACAGAGTTACAGAGGTTTAGAAATTGATTTAAAAAAGCCCACAAAGGGTCAGTTGCTAGAACATGAATGTATCTTGCACAAATGTATTGGTTGAAAAAGGGCATTGAAAGGTATAATAAAATAAAGGTTAAAAAAAACGTTCCCAGAATTTTTACGATTTTTTTTGGAAAAACACAGGTTTGTGAATAGAAAACGTGCCTCTATTTTACGGTCCTCGTTCAGTCTCTGCAGTTGCCAGTAAATGAGAGCTCGCTGAGATTTGGGACTGCACTCCAGAAACATGCTGCTGTTCTCCACTCCAAACACCGTCCTGTCTTCTACAGTGCTTCCAGTCCCATCCATGTCATCTGTGCACAACATAGACATTATTATATCGGCCTGCACATGCCTTTTTTTTTTCCGCTTACCATGAAGTTGAAGGTCTGAACACTGAGACATAGGATCGCCATTTCTAATGTCTTGTCTTCTGGTACGCCTGAAAAAAAATAAAACATGTATCGTTTATTGATGTGCTATTAACTGTACACCACTAGGGGACAGTGTTGCACCACTACTCTGTGTTCTATCTACTTACACCGCTGCATATTCAGTATTTCAACCTGTCAGTAAAGAAACAAATAAAACTTGCAGAGCTTTGAAATTGCATTTAGTTCTTTGAGTGCATTCGGATTGTGTATTTCTGCCCTGTTAATCATAGTTGTTGGGATTTTCTTATTTTTATGGGAAGACATTTTGATGCCCTGGAAAGTATTTCTCCCATGGACCTAGTTGTCAGAGTGAAATAAAAGTGTTTGACAAGTGCTATAAAAATCAAAGACTTGTGTAGTTTATGTTGGCCAAAGGTGAGCTATGGAAAGGGATGAGCGGTGGGAATGAAAGAGAAAGACTAAGAAGAAACAGATGCATTTGGGTCTACATTGCCTTTACTATGTCATTCATATATCTCATGAACATGTTCATTTCCTGGTCAACCAATCCAGTCCTTTCGGCTATCTGAGCACGTGCAACTCCTGAGTTTCTGCTTTTCATTTGGGATAAGAAGAAAATATATTGTGTGTGGTGGATGAAGGAGAGTTGGTCTTGGCCTTAACCATGGGGTGTGCCGACTGAACTCTCTCCCTGCCAGACTGAAGTAAACCACTGTGTATTGTAGAGTTTCGGTGTGTGAGGGATGGTGGTCAGTCTCTCCGGATATAGCAGAGGGTAATTTGAGGGTGAGTGTGTTTGTACCTCCTTGCTGTGGGGTGAAGTGGCAGTAATTTACCTGTAGCTCAGTGTGTGTCTTTGTAAATGGCATGCCAACTGCGAAGCATGAACAGATTATTTGGCAATAACTAACTAACTAAAATTTGATTTTGCACTGTATATAACTTTATACACAATAAAGATGCATTCACTCTACAGAGCGGCTGCTTTGGATTTGTGAACTTGTTTGGATTCACAGGCAGTTGGGAACTGAGGTCAAAATCAAGGTTGTGCACAGTGATGCCCTTGAGCAAAACATTTATAACAGAGCATTAGAGCCAAGAGGAGTCGAATCCAGGTGCAGTGATAACTCCCAGGTGTGAGCATATGTGACGTTATAAATACATGGGAGCATGTTGCTGAAAAGAACCATACAACCTTGACAATCTCCCTGAGGGTAAATAAGGGTTAGAGAGGAGTTTTTGTTTGGTGAGTCCTCGTACCTTTTGGCAGTGGGGAAATATCTGGAGCACTCAGTGCCGTCCCAGGCGCAGTACGGGTCTCTGGCCAGACAGCACTCTGCACAGGCTTTGCCATATACCTCACACCGGTGTAACGACATCTGTGATACGCCCAGCGCTGAGCCAAGGTACAGCTGTTGCTGTGAGAGAAATAACAAAGACATGTATACACTGAATATAGAATGAGTGTTTGTTGAAGGAATGTGGATTACAGATTCTCAAAGGGAACCTTGTTTGTATTTTAAGATGTGTGTTTAAGAGCTCAGTTTGTGGTGACATCTGTCCACGGCTATTGGAATTATGATGTGTAGAACATGCTCTTACCTGTTTTGTTGACAGCTCCATTGCAGTGATGGGAGTAGGGTCCTGTACAAAACAAAAACAGATGAAGGCCGTATTCATTTTATGAGAAGATTTTTTGAATAGTTGTCAATGGAAGTCATCTTGAATGAGTCACCAGACCTACCCTAAACACCGTCATCTCCTCCAGCACCACCTCTTCTAGGTCATGCCAACTCTCTCTGGGGATGGTCACCACCTTCAGCACAGTGCCTCTGTCTATAAAACACATGAATCATGTATAGATTATGCATCTTTAAAGAGGAGATACAATACAAGTACAGCCAACATGTTTTTTCATACCTGTGCCTATGAACATGACATCATACTGCCCATCCTCAGCCTCCACTCTGTCCACCACCAGCTGAGAGAACTGGTAGTCCACGTCTGTGCGCACCATGATGGGACGTCCCCCTATGGGCTGCACTGGGTTATACATGGCTGGGTGACCCCGAGCGAAGGTGATGACATCATCTGGCAGATCTTTGGTGGAGTCAAAACCCCCAAAGGTTTTACTAGGACACTAACATTAAAGACAACAGTGTTACTCATGCACCAGTGACGCACCAGTGGCCTATTATTCTTTCACGCCGAGAAGTGCTCTTACAGTGCCAGGCCGAGGGTAGGGGACTCTTCCTTGGAATGGCACCCACTGGTAGTTTGGGCCATCTCGGTGAGCATAGGAACCCAGAAATACTCTCCTGATGTCCACCATGTTGTACATACACACAGCCGAACCCTTAAATATGTTACTGTGGAGAAAAATAAACAGGGAAGACCAGCCATTAGACTTTATTTTACCAAGAACAGACCAGAATAAAATAAATCTAAAACAAGTTCTCCAAATTGAATACTCTTGAGAACGTTGTAAACCAGTGATACCTCTGTGTTCAATAAAAAGCTTTCAACAACAAATAGGGTTGAAGACAAGTTGGACTGCTGAAATCTAGACTGATGACTCCAATAAACAAAGGGGATTTGTGAATAATCGCTCACACAAGACAGGGATTAGGAACTTGTGAAATCCTGAAGAAAGACAACAAAATGACCCTTCGGCACACAAAGACGTGAAGAGGAGAGGGCTGTGATTACCTAAGTATGAACTGACAGATGCGGACTTCTCTGTGATTGCTCCCAGCCTCCTGAGAACAGACAGGAATGCGGGCACGCCACCAACCAAACAGGACCTGCGCTCGGCTGTGTTCAAAACACGAGCACGTTTATAGCACTTGGTTTGAGCCAGATGGGTGGATTTTATTTTTAATAGCAGAAGGAAAAAAAACCCAATGAAACTACAAAAATCCATTGTCCATAATAACATGAGGCTTTCTATCAATATTTCCTTGCTCTTCCAGGCCAGAAGACAAGAATTCAACCAAAAACTATTGAGAGTAACGTTGAGATATGTTGCTCAATACAAATAAATGCATATTTTGTTTGTAAAGTAGCTCCCAGGCGGGTACCCGACCAGCCTGGGAGCTGCTTCAGTCCTGCACCAGACCTGTCCACGTTCTGCGCCGCTGCGTGGCCAAGGTCCATGTTCTGTAGCTTTGGTCCTGGATCTATAGCCCGTCCGTCCGTGTGGAGTGGATCCCTCTCTCAATGTGGGTCTCCCCGAGGTTTCTCACTTTTCTCCCACTGGGTTTTAGAGTTTTTCCTTGCCGATGTAGGAGGGTCTGTTGGACAGTTAGTGTCCAACTAGAAGGACTGTGGTGATGATCCAGGACACCTTAACTTTCTACAACATGTATGGAAATTTATGTGTTCTATATTCTTGATGTGTCTTAACTGTTTATTCTCTGATCTGTTTTGGTGATTTCAATGGTTTTGTTAAGTCCTCTGAGATGACTGCTGCTGTGATTTAGGGCTATAGAATAGAATAGGAATAGATTGTTTTATAGTGTATTGTGTAGTAAAGGTGAAATCTAAATTGGCCATTTGTAAGATACAGAGTCTTAAAAACAATAGCTGGACCTTCTCAGTTTTAAAATTTTTCAAAAACATAAAAAGATGGCTACAGATTCCTTCAGCCAATATTAATATATGTGCTACGCTTAAATAATGACGTCACATTTAATAATGCCTTCATCTGTTTATCTTGCTGATACAACTTTGTGGTTGGACTAATTTGCAAGCTAACCGTTGTGAGGAAGCTATGGGTCTCATGGGATTTGCAAAGTGTTTTGTCTTGCTGACTGCGATGGGAAGTGGTATTTGACTAATTAGCAATGTGGTTAGCATATATACAACAAAAGAGGCTCACTGAAGCATGGAAGATGAATGGATTAGCATTTGAAAAAGTTAATTACTCCCCAAATTCAATTCACTTCGATACCACTGATGTGTATGGTTGAGGAAAAAGAGTGAGTTTCTGTTTGTGTGGAAATAGAGAACAATAAATACACTTTATGTTCACACAATGCTACAATCAAACATTGATCTGCGGGTAGAAGCATCCCCAAACCTCATTAAGCAGGGATATTAAAAGCTAGCCCCTCTTATCTCTTCCCTGAAAACAAGCCACTTAGAAAACCAATTAAACTACTCTTTTCTTCAACGCCCCGTAATTTAATTTTACAGCAAGCATGTATGTGAAAGACAATCAAGCACTGCACCAGACGCTTATTCACAGAAGAAAATCAGCAAACACGATTTAGTCCAGTCGTAGAATAATGTACTGAAACAATTTGCTTTGTTAATTTTCTTAATGAGAACTATTCATTTAAATTAAATAGAAATGTGGATGTGCAAACACAAACACGTGAACAATTTCTTAAACTGTTCCATGGTGATTAGGTAGACGTCTTTTTTAACAACTCTTTCCTCTTTGGGAGTGGTTCTCAACTTAACTAATGATCCAAAATTGGGTTGCAAGACATTTTAAAGTGGGTCGCAAGCATAGACAAATTAATGGACGTAGTCACGCCTATCTCCGCCGTTCTTACTAATGGGCCAAAAATAGTGCTCTACTGGAGCTATCCAAAATGGCCGCGAGTGGTCCCGCCCACAAGAAAATTGTGAAAAAACGTATCTGCGCATGCGTCAGCCGGCAAGAGCTCCATTCATTTAAACGAGAGACTTCAAAAATTCACAGCGACTAAACCAGAGTGGTCCAAAAAAAATCACTAGCCTCAGCATTGACACACAACTTTTGGACCATCCTGTAAAGACGTTTTTTAGAGGTCTGCCAATGCTATATGTTAGCATTGGCTAATTCTTATTCTGGGTCCACCCCCATCGGCCCGGGGTGGTATTGCAGCATGTCAGCGCACGTCATTTTGGCCACTTTTGAGCCGGGACCCGCCCCCACTGGTCGTAAGTCATATCTGCTGCACTGAAAAAAAGGAATCCAAAAAGAAAAAAAGAAAAATTGCCCTTATTTTATGAAAATAATATAAAGACATTTGTACACCATATGTTTGTTATACTTAATTATACAAAACATTTACTTGAAATATAAAATTCACTGGGAAATGTTTTAAATTTAGTTATTTAAACCCTTGCGTGAGTTGTTTTTTTTCCAGAAATTTGACGTGAAACAAACAAATACTGGAGCTGAAACTATGTAAGAGATTGTTGACTACTACAATAAATAACAGAGACATTTTTTTGGGAAAATGTGCAATAATAATGTAGGAAACGTTTTTGGGAAGCCCGGTTGCTAAAGAAAGTGTCCTCAACCCCGAGGAGCACATGAGACATACAGCTCAGCCTGGGTTTACTCATAGACAAAAGTAACTTCTTACTTTTTCTTATCCACTTCACTGAGTATCTGTAGAAGTAATTTTACTTTTTAGTATTATTCAAGTTTGTGAACAAATACAGTATTTTACATTATTTACAAACTAAATTTGGGTCAGGACACATTGAGAATCACGGCTCTATGGTTTCCCTCAGTGTAAAACCACCACACCCAGAGAGTGTAGCAAAGCCAGCTCAGCCCTGGGGCAGAGGCCTGGGGAAAGACATGCATTCCTGTTGAGTGAAGATCGTGTTTCTCTAGCTCTAATCTGATTTCCCTACAAGCATTTGCTGCCAAGATTTTCAATAGGGAATGGGACAGGTAGCAAGGATCAGGGAATGGGCTAAAAGCAATCTCTTATATGGAAACTCCTGCGACTGCTGAGAAAGGGAAGCAGCTACAAGACACCTGTAAGTGGATTAGTGAGGGGAGATTGCTGTCTGGAAATACGCTTGGTGGCTCGCATCCTGCCGTGTCATTTCAAAATGGTTTCAAAGATGTTTCGGATAAAAGTGAGGGATAAAGGAAAAATGAATCTGAGTTTTTTTTAGAGAGAGAGGAAATAACTTGTCCAGTATGGCAGCTTGTATGCTATACCTACGCAGATCTCCAAGCAACAACTCAGAAAAACAAATATGATATACCAGCATCTGTCCAAGAGAGTATGTGACAAGCCCTGAGAATTTGAGGCAATGCAGGAGAAGAATTCAAAGGAATTATTGGTTCAGTGAACAAATTCCTGTTGACCGATTAGTCAACAAGAAGCGTGGTAAATTTTCCAATGAATCAAACTGTCCTCACAAAACTTGGATAATGAAAAAATAATCTAATTTTAAGGAGGAAAAATCACTGAAATCTTTGGCTTGCATATCAAAGTAAATACCAACATTTTCAGCTATTTGTTCCATACCACTTTTTTGACATTTCATAGGTCATTATTCATTCACGCCATACACAATGATGATAAACTACTACTGTAGCCACAAATGCCCTGGGGCACACAGACAGAAGCGAGGCAACCAGTACATGCCATCTGCCCCCTCGACCACCACTAATCATTCAACCACACACTAGACTCATTCTAGGCTCCTATCACAGTACAAACCAGCCTCTGTCCTGCTTAGCTTCAAAGGTCTGACAGGATCTGACTTTCACATACAGGTGGCGCCACTGGATAAAACGATCAGTCAACAATCAAATAATGTGATCAACATCTGCATATATTATGAACTGTTGTGTCTATGCTAAATAGATGTGTGTGTTTTAATGATTGATCTTTAAATGTGCCGTGTTGAAAGACAAATTTCTGCTCAATTGAACAGACAGTAAAGTCCAATTCTAAGGATCTATCGGTTGATTCATCGACAACACAACTTAATTTTGACAGCCGAAGAGAGAAGCTTGGTGAGTTCTGGTCGTACCTGGAAGTGGTAAACACCGCGTAGATAAGGGGATTCTTGGGGTCCTTGGCGCTCATGAGGAACACGTCCTCTAAAATAACAAAACACAACACTCAGATGACTTTCCCAACCATTTTGTAAACGCACAAACGAGAGACACTCACGAAGTTCGTCAAAATGCGTGTCGATACCGTTGACCCCAGGTACGGAGCACATCAGGCGAGCTTTGAGGAACGTGGTCCATTTGTTGACCAGACTTCTGTGACCGCCCATGTCGTTCTGCAACAAGAAATCATGTCGTAAAGTGGAAAGGTGTAGTTTTTTCCCGAGGGTGACAAGAACATATAAGGGCTTTAGTGAACAATAGTAAGCTGCGGTACCTTACACAGTTGTCCTATTCTCGCGATGGTGGCCTTCCCGGTGTGCTCCCCGTCCATGGCGTTCTCCTTGAAAAACAGGAAGATTTTGTCGTCTTCTGGGTTGTCACTCTCGGGGATTAGGTGCACACTAATGAATCTGGGATCTGTTTAAAAAAAAGAAAAAGAAAAGAAAAGCAAAAACATTTACGTATTCCTCGATGTGCACACTGAACAGTAAACACCACACCTAACCTACCTAACCCCCATGTCCCCACAATCCCTTCACCCCCATTCGACACCTCCAGATTCAATCCCCCATGAGATTCTCCGGTCACGGCTCAGTAATAAGCGCCATTTACTTTACACCCTGTTGTTACAGTATCTGACTTTGCCCCGACCAGCCTTCCCAGATCCAAATCCCACATAACCCCTGTCCCCAGACCACATCCTCACTAACACACATGGCTCCGATTGTCCCAGGACACGCTTCAATACATTTCACTTTTCTTTAGGGGGGGATCAAAGCACAATATATTGTGGCTGTGATTCAAAAATAAAGCTGCTTACTTATTTCTATAATAGTACAATCAGGAAGGAATCATTATACAGATCATTTGGAGGGGCTCTGGAAACTGAAAAATGAATAAATATGAGTAATTCTACACCACTGTCTATAGTAGGGGTGTCAAACTCATTATGGTCGGGGCCACGTTTAAAACCATAAGAACTGGTTTGGGTAAGAAGTATAAAAGTGGCTCTGATCTAAGGAATCACCGTTATCTTCTGTTCTCCACGTAAACAGACAGTAAGAAAGGCACAATATGGCTTTCCGGTCTTTCTGGACGCAAATATGTTATATTGTTTGTGTAATAATAACGTACAGTTTGTGTGCACGGCCGGAATCAACTTATTTTGTTATTACGTCTCTAGTTACTGCGCTCCTCCAGCAGTGAGCTCGTTAGAGGGATACAAGCAGTGCCATGTTACTGCTGCAGCCCATTAGGAGCCTGTGAGAGGGGCGAGTGGCCAAAGTGGACAGCAGATTTATGCGTGTTGTGTGTGTGTGTGTGAGAGCGCGGGTATGAATAATGCGTACCCCACACACGCGTTTGTCGTCCATTGTGAATGCGTCCTAACTACGCCATGATGGAGTGTACTGCACGAGCGAAAGCATAAAAACAACATGCTGTCAGCACCCGCAGAGGTCACACTATTCATTATATGTAACAGCCAACACAAACAACATTATTCAGCGGAGGTTTGGCCCGATCTCCATCTTGGGGAAAGACACTACAGCTGAAAGATGTAGTTTTGGGTCTTAAGTTTATGTCTTCTTTCTAAATCAACCCATATGTCAACATTTACTGATGTTACTTTTCCCTTTTCATAAGTATAAAGTTATGTAAGGATTGCGGCTGATTGTCTTCTGCCTCTTCTCTTCTGCCGGGAGGGTATTTTAATAGCAATAAAGAATCAATTACGCATAACAAATAAAACCTTTGGGGCAAAATATGATTTTTCTAGATTTTTCATCTTAATACTCAAAATTGACAGGATATAAGGAAGGATATAATTAGGCAGAAAGTTCCAATGGCCCTGACTGTAAGATGTTATGTGAATGAGTGCAGAGGAGTGTTTGTGTGTTTCATATGAAGAGTATTCTTTTGCATGTTGTTTTTCTCTACATGTGTGTGAGTTGTTCTTTTCCCTAGCAATATCAGTTCTAAATGTTCTAAATGCACGTTTCCTCTTTTTAAATGAATCAATAATTGAATACACACAATCAATAATCTCAACAAATACCTTTACCTTTACAATGTCCCTAAACCCAGGCACACAAAAGCCCTTAATCCTTCCCTTTTATAGACCTTAACTCTGACCCTTCTTTTTTCCTCTGTGTAATGAATACTATAACCTTTCCTGATAATTCTTCAATAGAATATCTCAATTTCCGTAATCCTTTCAATTACAATTCCACCTTTTGTACGAGTTTTGCTTTGTGTGAACCAATACAAACCCCATTTGTTTAAGCCAGGTGAAAGATCCGCAGCGGATTATCATTATAACAATAGTCCGATCTTCACATTGGCTCTTCATGGGGGATTCAAAGTAATCAGCACTTCTACACTCTGTATATGTTTTTGATGAAGATGCTGGAGGAAGAGGAGAAACAGGGTGGTGCAGGAATCCGACCCCACTATAGGAAACTGCAGTTGAAAGTGGATTAGCTGTGTGGGAATGTCGGGGGAACGGATGGCATGATTTCAGGAAAGAGTGAGCACCAAACTGACCTTTTGTGGTCCGTGGTAGTGCCGACAGATAGCGTGAAAGACAGAGGATTCGATAGCTGGGCTAATCTCAGCAGCACAGACAAATCCATAGGCCTTTGTGAATGGCCTGTGATATCTGATGTCAGTACATGAATGAGTATGATGGCCTGAGAGAGGATTTTAAACTCAATACAAGTGGCTACATCCTTCAAGAATAATGGAAAGTTCTAGGTTGTGTTTTTGTCATATGTATAGATTGTGATTTGACTTTGTAGGCGTAAGGGGGTTTACGGCATCATGGCTTGGTGACAGTTCCAGATGCAGTGTTTTTTCCCATTTGCATAAAACCACATTGGAATACCTGTGCAAGATTACCCCAGTGTGCACCAGACAGTAGACGCCAACAGCATATTTCTATGCCGATGATATTGCCATGCTTATTATAATGTTTTTTAATAATGCTCTGTGTATGAATCACCAATTTCTTATATTTTGACTTCCTATATTGCCTTTCCTATATGCATCTATATGACATTGAAAAGTATCTCGCTCTATGGACACAAGCAGGTGACACTGCCTGATCAAGTGTTGTTTTGGCTTGTAAACAATAAGGAAAGGAAGTACCTACCATTCAGCCATCTTGAATCATGCTGCTCTGTTCTGATTGGATGGTGGTCTCCCAGAGTTCGGAAAATGGCAAAGTCTCTTCCCATAAAGTCAGCAGATGTGCCAGAGTACAGCTCACCATCTGCCAAACACAGTTAGACACGATTTGTTATTGCTCTAACCGCATGTTTCCTGGAACTAATCAGGCAGATCAAACTGACCGATCAGCAGAGAGGCAGACAACATCTTTGGATCGTAGGGGCTTTTCCCGCGGCCGTTCTCAAAATGCTGTGTCATTCGGAAGATGTTGTCCTGATGCAAAAAGATCAAAGTTCACAGAGAGACCACTTTACACCACAACATCACATATTCTAATAAATACAGCATATTCAAAAATGCTACAGGTAAAATGTAAAACAATATGTAACACAGATATGAGTCTTTTTCAAACAGAGCCTCTTGTTCACAACTCCCCCCGGTTACATTTGGCGTTGCTGACAGGACCCATTAAAAATTATGGAGGCAATTTGTTCCATTAAATGATGTTACCGCTAATATCGTGTTGCATATTTTGTGTCATGAGTTTTTAAATAGATTTCTTAAAAGATCTAGTTATATTTTCAGTATTCTTTTAACAAAACTCATGCGTGCTTATATGTTTTCTTAAGTACAGTCTGCACTGCCTAAGTAGAATAAGTAACCTAGCAACTTCATTTGTCTCTCCAGTATACACATAAAGAAGAGGAGCGCCATCAAATTGTACAGTTACGTCTTCAATCTATTCTTAAATCCAACATAACAAAAATCCATTAGACTTAATTTGGACTTTTTATTTGTGTCAAATCTTATGTACGATGACATGTGGTGAACCCATGCAGAGATGTTTAGAATAGCGACATGGCGCTGCCTCTCTCTCCTCTTTTCACTGTTACAATTCCCGACCGCACGCTGTTACATTGATTAACCTGCAGACCTTTTATCAACATGACTGATTAAACTTTAAAGCAAACAAAGAGAAGACATTGTTGCGAAGCCAGATTGATGAGCAGAATGCAGCTGTATTGTTCCGTGAGCAGAAATATCTATATACTATCGTGAAACGGGAAAAAATAACTGTATGAACCAAATTGGATAGGAAAGGATTGAATTGTTTTGCCTGACAATGATCTGGAGTTTAAAAGAAAATCAAGAATTACGAATACATCTCAAACAACCAACATTAATGCAGGCTTAAAACAAATATGATAATAACAAAAAACGTCCGATTAAGACACAGGATTTACACAGGACTCTTTCTTAAAACCATGCAAACTATAACTTGTTTTCTGAAAAGGTGAAGACAGCATGTGGTGGTCTGATTTGTTCACAACATTTTTGCACCAAGCCAGGGCATGAGCAGTGCAGTCCGTGAATGATTTAAAACAAGAATAACACATGGTGCGAGTGTGAACCGTGTCCCACCTCTGCCCTTTTGCCCATCTCCAGAAACGAACAAATGGGATGAAAGGCCCCTGTGCCGCAGATGTACAAGTGGGTCTGGTTGTACGGGTGCAGCACTCGGATAAAGTTGGAACACTCTTTCTGGAAAATAAAAGAAAATTTTAGTACAATTTCATCAGAGCTCCAGCTGCCAAACACATTTGAATCCACATGGAATACCTCCCTCTATTTATCTAGTAATCCATACTGTTGAGTTTACGACCCTGGCACAGAAACTAATCTAGTTATTTTTAATACATCTTTGCAAATGTTATGACGTGTAATTCACCAAAGTTCACTTCCTGCCTTCATGCCAACATGCTTAAAGCTGGGGTACCTACATTTCAAACCGCAAAAAATGGAGCTACAATAAAATCCATGAAACTATTTTCTAGCTTGAAAACAGTTTTAACATGCATGTATTTTCAACCTCTGTCCCATCTTGGACTCCATCGAAAAAGAGAGGTTTTTCAAGGGGCTATTCCTAGTAAATAATACAACAAAAAAATATATATATATATATAGAATAGAATAAATGTTTCAGGTCGTAGCCCAAAGCATCAAATAGTGACTCACAGGACTAAGTATGCAAACAATGTTGTAATAAAATGAAGAGAGCATGTTGTGGTCTGGTTTGGTTTGCAATTTACTAAACAAAAAAAAACTTTCTCTTGTAAAAAAAATAAAATATTCAATTGATTTTAAAATGTGACAAAATTACACTGGCAACACAAACATGCAGGTTGTTCAAGATAAAGAAGCAGAGACTAATGCAGGGCAACAAACCACACATATTCATATTTCATCATTCTGCAGGTCTGGGACTTTCCACTTGCACAATAGAGGCTCTTTTTAAGGAAACTGTCTGTAAAGCCATATACCTCACATCTTTAATGGTCCACATGGTAGAATTTACTGAGGCTGTTTGGGTTGGCATGGCGGCACATGTTGCTATAGTCCCTCTGGTGTGAGACTGTTTATTAAAGTGCTAATCAACAGGATTGGTTAATGTGGGTGGCTTATTAGCAGCTCACGGGAACTGATTTGGGCACATGTGTTTAAGAGATTAGGCTGAGGTTTGGCTAATTATAAATACATCCTTGATATCCATCTAACAAATAAGTGCACACCAGCTTAGGGATTTGGGCGAGAGGAAGACAGCTAAATTATATTTCACATGTATCTCTTTAGGCTACACAAACACCCCACATACTTACACTCCTCATGTGACATAATACACAACATGGACAATAGTGTTGAGACTTTCCAGAGCTGTGATTTTTCTTCTCCTAATGTGTCTGGTTCTTTTCATGCAAGATCAAATGTATTTTTACTCAGTAATTATTTAGCAAGGAACTAGCGGGGGATTATGAAAGTATTCACACCTTTAAATGTGTGGGATATATTTACCCCCACAGTCCAACAAAGTGATGCCTTCCAAAGCACAAGTCTGGATCTGGGCTCTCTGCCCCTGACCCATAGTTCAAACAAATGATTTTCTTCTTGGATTTCACATCATGTTCTTTCAAACATATTATTCACAGAATAATAGAATAAAATAATAAAAAACAACACAGGGATTGGATGAAGCAAAAAGCAATGTTTTAATGTTCAACAACTGCTCTTGTCCTCCTCAAATCACACTCATGTCTTATACATGTAGGTTACTGAGGTTTCTGTATTCAGTAACTTCAGTAACCTCCTTTTTCAAGTCCACGGAGGAAAAGTAAAAAAAACAATCTAACAAACCAAAACACATAGGCAAACCCCTGTGTATCTAAGTTAACATATCTTTTATAGTATACTCGTTTCCCTCTCTCTATTATAAATAATAGTATTTTGACATTTAAAGAAGAAGGAAAATAGCACAGTAGCACTGTTCTACTAATACTCACTTCCGGAGTAACCCGTCAGACTGGCTCTGGGCCCACTCATTCATTTCAATGAGAAATTAGGTTGTTACAAAGACTCGTTCCTTTTAATAAGAGTGAAATCATGTTCAAATGAAGGGAAATGAGAGCTACAATCTAAGGCTATTCCATATCGGATCCTAACTCAACAGAAAACAATATGAGCGGAGCTAAAAAAAAGCAAACCAGTACGAACAAAGGAGGGCGCAAAGGAAGGAACCATACCTGACAACACATCTTTAAAGTGCTATTTCAAACCGCTAAAAATGTAACAATAAAATTCATTCACTAATTCCTCGCTCTCAAATCAGTTTGGTTTTAATGCTAGTTTTCCCATGCATGCATTGTTTGGCTTCTTCCATCTTTAGGTCAGAGAGTAGACCACCCTCAATCAGCTCTCACTCCAAAAGTGTAAAATGATGACTCACAGGGTTCTTTCTTAAAAGTATGAATAGTTTATTCTGACACTATAAACTGTCAAACTGTCCAAAGGGAATGGAAGAAGTAGAAAGCATATTTATTCACTTTCATAATAAATTGTCATATGTTCTTAATAAGAGGAAGACAGTATGTTGTGGTCTGATTTGTTCACATCAATACTTTTTCTGTTGGGACCAGTTAAGGGCCATAAACTGCAGGTGCAAAGTAAAATACTATGACATGTTCACGATAAACCAGTTTGCTCCTATGTGAAAAAGGGGGAAGATCACTTTTGCACACACTTACCCAAATAAGTTAAGTTAGCAGCAATACCTTAACACATAAATCTATCTCATTAAAAAGACTAGGGTTCTTACAATGGTATCAGCCTTTTGCATACCCACTTTTATGCTAAGCCCCTATCTGCAACATCGTGGGCCATGTTACACGCTTGTGCTGCCAATTGAGTGATACAACCATCAGGCATTTTTGGAAAGAGGCAGCTGTTGCATTTGTTCAGTGGTCGACTGTAAATTGTGGTTTGGGAGAAATGCCCCACTTTGACAGCACTTTCCAAACGCTCCGGCAATATCCTAATCAAGGCACTCGAAGGCTGCTGCTCTTACTGCCTCATTGTCAAGAGTAAACATTTTCACACATCACACAAATACCTCATCACTGAGTTTTGTGAGACTTGGCACTCGCTTCGCACACAACGACTTGTGAATGTGAAAATGACTGCGACCCAAAATGCTTCAGGTTACATGGATTCCTTTGGAATCCATGTAACCTGAAATACATCAATGGATTCCATTGATGTATTTCAGTTTTTATCCTAAAATACTCCCATCTGCATTACATGTGGACCCAACCAGCCATATTATAATAACAATATGATGTTATGAGTATCTAATGAGGTGGTAGCTCATGGTTCTGTGGGAGCCTGTTGTGTTCTGGTAGGACCGTCCTCTGCATGGTCGTTCTGCTGTCGCGGTAATTGCTTGTTTGCGTCTGGGACTGGCCTGAGTTGGGGCGCTGGGCCTTGCTGGGGCACATTGATCATTGTTACCTTGGTTTCATTGAAATGTTTAAACTCAGCTGGGTATGGCTGAAGCTGAAACTATTATTATTCTTCAATGGTACAGTAAATATCCATAAAAAAGCTTCTCTTTCTTCCCACTCTATTTCAAGCTGATACATTGTAAATAAAGATGTATGTTTTATACTGTTACTAAAACAATCTGTGTGCATGCATGTCTGTGTATGTATATATGTTTTATGTATTACAACTGTATCTGTACTTGTATTGTATGTACAGTAATACATGTAATGGTGTCTCCAAAAACAAAGCTTTGTAGATATTGTAAACTACTTAAGAATGTAAACATGTCTGCACAAATGAGTGAATACAAATAAATAAATATAACCTATATATGTGTGGATGAGGTTTCCACAAGTGTGAACACGTTAGTTTTACCCAACTGATGATGCATTGTTGCAATAGTAATGCAATTGCTAGAATATGATTGTTTAAAGATTACTTTTCATGGAAGCTGAGATTAATATTCTGCTCCAATTTCTATTGGTTTAACATAAAGATAATAGAATACTTTGTAAGGAATGACAACATGATCCAGATCTCTATTATGGGCCAAGTTCAGAATAACACATATGTTTTAACAAAATGGATAGATAAGAGAAATTCAAACAAAGAATCTTTTTATGCTAAATATGCAAGAACTGGGCACAATGAACAAACACTGTCCATTGGGGATAATAAAATCAGCATCTAAAGTACAGTATGTCACTTAAACAGGTATAAACTAGATTATTTAAACTTATTCTATGTCAAATGATAGTCACAGTGTACTTACCCCTAAATCTTTTCCTGCCCACTTGCACTCATCCCGTTTTGAGGGTGTGGCAGGCCACGTAATCTGTACAAAGGGGATAGAGACAAAATCATGTGACGCAAAAGGTGAGCAGAGGGTTTTTTAATCCTATGTATTCAATGAACAGGTCTACATTCTCAAAATTATATCTCCTTTCTTGAGGTAAATCTCTAGCATATGGTTGCACTTTGTTATATGAGGAATAGGATTGGTTGTCAAATAAATAATGGCTTTGTGTTGTCCTGAAGGCACATCCATTTGTAGCCCCCGGTGTCAGAGTATAAACACACATGGAGTCTGAGCCGCAACAGCGAGGAAATGATTATATCCTCTATATCCAGAGAGAGGGAGTCGCCTTTGGCCACACATGTGGATCGGCTCACGCACTGTATGACGATACATGTCCACGGAGCACATGGACTTTGAAAGGGACTTTTATACAAACATAAGAGGATTGATTTATTGTCTGTATATATCATGTAGAATTCTTTAAAAAATAAATAATCACACATTGCATAATGAGTAAATTTTTCATAAAAAAAGAAAAGAAAATCAAAATCTGCAGACAGGGCAGACAGGGCTTTCAAGAGTCCTCCAGAGCTGCCCCAGTGAGCAGCCTGCAGGCGGCGGGTCTATGAAAGCACCCCAATCAGATAAAAGAGCACCTAACCTAGTCCAGGTGCTGTAATGGAATTATGGACAGCACTGTCTGGACCAGAGTTATGGCCTCCAGACGCAGTGGACAAAGAGGTGAAGTGATGAGAAAAGTATAGAGTAGGGGAATCCTTACCATTCTGTGGTCTCTGTTAATGTTCACAAGGTCAAACGAGAATATGTGGTCCTCTGCACCCACCAATAACCTCCCTCGCTCCTCATCAAGTAGAAATGCATCGTAGCTTGAACTGTTGGCTAGGCCATTGAAGGTTACAAGATTACTAGACTCCAACATCTCTGCAAAACAAAACAAAGGAAATAAAGAATTTGAATAATAAACAAACAAAAAACAGTAATATTGTAATATACTTCAAGGCAGGTTTGGGGTTCCCCTCCAGCTGTGTAAGGGGCCTCTCGCACATGTCACTCAGGTGTAGCGTGAGACATTGAGAGTGTGCGCAGCATGCCCCAATCAGAGACTCTGTGCTGACTGTTGAGCCGTATGATTGTTTAAATTATTAATTTGGTTCTGGACCATACAGGCAGACAGTGTGTGAGCACCAGTGGCTCTTTGTGGCATTTAACAGTAAAGGTATTTTAATGCAAATGAACTTTTAGTAGAGGGTGAGTGCACACATGTTTCACCACATGGTTCCAGTCAGGTGCACAGGGATGGTCTTACATGTCCTATCTCAAACAAGCTCAATTAAAATCTGCAATTATTCTGATTAAATTAATGGATTATTACTTGATACATGTCATCAGTGCTCATGCATGCACACACATGAGTGGCTTTCAAATATTCCATAATGCAAAATCATACACTGGTAGCTATAAGCCTGTAAATATATATGTACTGTAGGTAAGACATATGCCACCTTAATCGCAAATAGATTTAGCATGAAGTAAAAAAAAAAAAATGCAATGAGGTGTATATTAAGTCATCTACTAATACTAAACACGCACAATTCAAACAGCCATCTGTCCCACATTGGGTTACAGGAGAAAAAAACAAAAACATGTGCTTAATGCTTTCACCCCAGGTACAAGCCTTTCATGCATCACTTTTACTTTCACACAACATTGTTCATCATCATCAATGTCACCAGCACAGCCCCCCACCAAACCACAGACACACCCCACCCCCCGGCTAACATGTAACTACACTGTACATATGCAGGAATGCTCGTGGTCCGCTCTCCCAGTGGAGCTCTGATTGACGGACTGCTATAGGAGCCATCTGTGCCCACTCGCCGTGTGTGTGTGTGTGTGTGTGTGTGTGTGTGTGTAAGATCTTGGACATCTGTGTCTACATGAAAGCAGGGATTGGAAGAAGAAAGTAGTGTATACGGAAAGCAAGAGAGAGAGGGGAATGGTTGTCACCTAATAAAGACAGTCACAGCTCATCTGCGTCAAGCTGGTTTTCAGGGTGAAGGTGTTTGAGGAAAAGGAGAAGGTGGGTGCAGGCTCCATGTCTTCAGTGGAGCTCAGGGTTTGGGTGTGTTCAAGCGCAGATGGGCAGAGCGTGCAGGCGTGGATGTGAGAGAGAGAGTGGAGGTATTTGCGCTCCTGCTGGTCAGGCCGACACCCTGGCAGCAACATAAGGGATATATGCTGCTCAAGGATTAATGGACCAAAATAGATCTGCTTATGTTTAACTCACAACAAGTAGCATAATTGGTTTACTTTCCAGACGCTAACAGGAAACAAACTATTTCTGTGTCCTGTTAGTGTTGCATAACGTTCATAAAATAGCGCTAATATTAATATGAATAACTATCTGTGCATCAGATTAACACTAAATGAATAATCAAGTCTGTTATTTATATTTAAAAAGTAATGTAACACAGTAAAGTATCAAAGGCCAAAATCAATGCAACTGTGTAACTTGTAGGAGGTTGTATGAGCATGGAAACAAAAACATTCATACACGGCATCCCACAATCGTTTCCCTATATGTTTCTTATTCATTTTAGTAGTAATTTATCTGTAATAACTTTTCAGGACTCTACCTTTTGTCTGTTTCACATCCAATTCCAGAAGAAGGGATAAACCCTCTCCATTCTTCAAGAAAATGGGTAAAAATGACTATACATGTACTGTATATGTAAATATGTCAGGTTTTGATCACAGACAATATGTTTTTATAGTTTTTGCAGTACAATTAAATCATACAAAAATAATAAGATTGATACGCTTTATTTGTCCCACAGTGGGTAAATTTCAGTGTTGCCTCACAAGTACAGACCAGTAGGAATGAGGAGCAAACAACACAAGATTAGTGAACAATAAGCATAGCACAACTCCATAAACTTTAAAAGCTCTAAACTATAAAAAATTGAAAAAAACACCTCTATCTTAAGCTTTTAAAATAAGCAAAGTAAAAAACAAAATACTGTATATTCTAGTGCAAGAAATATATACTTGATAAATGTATTGCTAAATCGGTAATAACAAGTTAATTTAAGTAATATCCTTTGTATGCAAATTGCCTGCCGGGTCTTTAATATTCACATTTGTTAAAATACTGTAATATTATTGATGGATGTGACAACAAATACAATAGAATGGCCTTCGGTGTATGCACGGGACACTATTCAAGAATGTAAGCGTAGAAACCTGAAGACCAAAGCATGAAAAATGCAGACCTATGAAATGATACAGTTTTCCCTGTCTGATTTATGAAGCTATCTTTTTTCCCTTTGCTGCTTTGGCACAGTCTATGCAACTGTATCATCTTCTCATCTAAAGCTGGGAGCACGGAAGCCTCTGAGGTCAGTCACGAACGTTTTTCTCTGCTTGGGCAAAAAGAACAAAAACACACGCATATTTCAATTGTGCGCTGATCTGCCATCGAGTTCACCAACACAAATACACACCAAAGGGCTTTATCTCACATTCATCACAATTCAACAGGGGCGTGAGTACCTAAGGACCTCCAATCCAAACACTGAGAAACTAAAAACGACGGATATATACAAGGTGGACTGAGAAACATGCCATGAAAACAGAAAAAAGAACAGCCACATTTCCTGAGTGGACATAAACACATTCATATTGACCTATATGTTTGCAGCTCATCCATTTTGCCTCCACATACAGTACATTGAACAAAAAGAGTTGTAATCAAATCAATGGTTTTGCTTGGACAGCAGCTTCCAGGCAACACGGCCCTACTCAGCATCTTGCTCCAAACGCAGGATAGAAAAATCACATAGACATCATTGAGAAATTTGCCTTCACAAATGTTCCCATCAAGAAAGACTATACATTGTCCATAGATCACGTCATCTCTTTTACAGCCGATTCTCGTCCACCTTCTCCTGTTACACAAAGAGTCTGCGGATTTTCACAGGCACATTTACTTCAGACAGTGCATACATCCAGGTGGGCTTTGCAAACACCATTATAGCTATCGCCTGCATGTAAATATATGCGGCTTAGAAATACACGCAAAAGCAAATATGCACCTGTGTTTATTGTCAAACCTCTTTGTTCGGTTCACACGGCCAATCCATATCACAGCATGGCATTGTGTTTCAGATATAAAGCTTGCTGAAGTAGACGGCAATAAAAACAGCTTTTCACAATTTTACAAAAGAACACCCCAGCACTAATTATCACATGGTTGAAGGCAGTCACAAGTATCACAGGCGCAAAACCACAGCAGAGGCAACAGTTCAGCAAGTGGATTATTATTATTTATTTTTTTACTTCTTGTTGCTACACAACACTGTTGAATCCAAAACATGTATTACATAAAAACAACAACAAACCAGATTGGAGAAACTTTGAGTGCATGAGAGTACAGGGTGCAAGGGCGATATGAGTTATCTGAGCAAAGTATTACAACATACCGGTATATAAAATGTGAATCATTCCAAAACTATACAATTAAAACATGATTTCAAGTTTTATCAAAGTTGTATTCTATTAGTCTTCTGTTCAGTATACTCACAATCACATCATCTCAAAGACATATATTTTTGAACTACCCAAACCACAATAGTCTCGAGGGACTTGACACAATAGTTGATTTGCCAACAGAAGAATGTCCCAGAGCATTTCCTCTTAATTAGAGAAAACCAACAACAACTTTGGGGAAAAAGAGAAACCTTGGGAAGAACCAGTGAGATGACCCAAAATGTAAAAAAATAAAATAAAATTGTTTTTCTTTTCATATAGTAGTATAGAAAGTTTTATATCCATGGAACTACCTCAAAAAATCCTCGTAGCGTTTCTTCAAATACTCACAATACAACACAGCTGCATAATGGCTAGAATTAATGCCACCGACTACAGAGAAAGAAGGCCTGATACTGTACTTTATGTGAGCAGCTGAAACTGTACTCTAACGCAATCCATTCAGATAAATTATTATGCATTTCTCTATCAAACTTCATTATGCAAAACAACTTGGCGATTGTCTTTTAAAAGCTCCTGAATTAAAATAGAAGAATCACATTTAAATTTCAAGTGCATTTGTCTGTGAAGCACTCTCCTGTCCCCTCCTCCAGCAGACAGGCAGTCAGACGCCCACATGCAGCTCGTGCTGGAGTGATGAGCGCTCATAAAGAGAAGGCGACAGGGCATTAAATGATGTTTATCTGAAAGTGTACGTTCATTGGGAAATGTCGGTTTGAGTGACACTAAACAAGGCCTGTCTGATGGAAAAAATAGCACTCAAGTGCATTTTAATCACTTTGTAGAACGGGTAAGGTTTGAGATACGTAGGATTTATCTGCACACATGAAAACTAAAATGATTAAAACAACTGGTGAAAAGCAGCTGTCTACTCTGCAAGATAATGTAGTGTCAGACCAGGCCAGCACGCATCTGCAGTTCTGTTATGTAAAACTACACACATGTGTGCTATACAGAACATAGAATATAATATAATACAATTGTATAAAACATACACATGTAAAACCACAAGGGCGTGAAAACACAATTTGGAAAGTTTTTATTTAAATGTAATATTTTCTGGCAGAAGTCTTTTTTCCTCATTTCAATTGAGACATCTCATATTTTTCATAATTCATACAAAATGTCTAAATGTTTTTCCAAACCCAGGCTTGACTATAAAAGTTTTGTGAGAAAACTAGCTTTTAAAAAATTGTATTCAAGTTGTTTGCAATGAATAATGACTTTCTGCCAAAAACTAAAGGTTGCATCTCCTTAAATGTGTTTGAATCATGTATCAAGTTTTTTTTCTCCAAATGAAACTCTCTTGAAGTTGTTATTTTCTCTGAGTATTTTTAAACATACATGATATTGAAAATTGCATCGCAACCCAA